GTGCGCTCGTCAGCCGACACCAAATGGCAGCCGGGCCCCTGGTCACAATCTCTGGCGCACGTCGAAAAAAAACACACATCGCAGTTTTCTCGCGTGCTCGGTCCTTATCATAAGGTCCTCATCCACCTGCGGCTACCCTGTGACACAGCACTACCGTCAGAAACGCCCGGCGATTCGCGCGTCAAAAATCGCAAAAATCACTCTTCTGCTGGCAGTGGGCAACATGGATAGCATCTTCAAAAGCGGGCCTAAGATCGGTTTCTCACCTGCATTTGAGCGGGAGTGCTTCGTGCCGGATCTGACCAGGCACCGTGGCTCTTGGGCCTCGCTAGCGCGTCCATCAGCGCACGAGCCATCGCGGCTCTTCATGGGTCAGAGCGAGGAATTGTCTTGACAACAAATGGCAGCCCAACACGAGATCAGCAAGAATGGTAAATCCATGACGGTCACGCGGCAATGTCGTTTGGCCACCCGTTCATCCATGACGTCGCTTGCACCTCGGCAGCACTTGCCCGTCGCGCCACAACGACGACAACGCACCACCAGGAGCGCGCGCGCGCCCCGCCCATGGCCCGCTTCATCGTGGCGCGTCTGTGAGAAAAGAAAAAAATTGAAGTCAAAAGCAAAGGGAAGGATATTGAGGCAAGAGGTTAATGCAGCAAAGTTTCAATTAATTGAAGCAGATCATGGCCATTCCAAGTAAAAAGATGCAGTCTATTCAGCAGTTATTGAAGATAATAAAGATGATGACATTCTGACATTCGGTTCTGTGTTCTGATTCTCTAAAGAGCTTCCTGTGTGTGTTTAGCGAAAGCTGTCGAGGGGGCCGACTTGGGCTTCCGCCGCACTGGGGAGCAGAATCCTCGCACTTTCAAACACAAATTCCACAAGACGCCAATGCCCACGCCCTGGAAATGGACAAGGACCGGACGAGTACAGCCACTTGACAAACAAGTCGCGCGTATCGAAATCCTTCAATGTCTGTTCCCTCAAGTTGTAGCCCATCCGCTGGGACAGGTTGCGCAGCCCCGGATGACAGACCGAATAAAGGAGGAGACAGCTCAGGCCCGAATCCAGTCCTTGAGACTGCCTGCAACGGTGATTCCATGTATCCCATCCACGAATCATCCTTGGCATTCCACAAGCGTAGCAACACGTCCATTTGGGATATTTGAAGCCCACGAAACATTCACTTGTCTCATGTCCTTTGAGGTGACACCGCTTGCAACCACAATTGCATACGCATTGATGCTCGGCCTTCAGGACGGGTTTCGCCTGTCGAATGGTACATCGCATGCAGTAATCATCCATCAACTTCAGAACGCCAATAAACTTGTCAGCCGCCGCGTAGTTCATCAGATTTTTTTTTTTTGTCCCCGATTTCGACCGAAATATTGGCGCGACGTTGTGCCGATTCGGTGGCGTAGCCGCAGCAGATACCGTGGCTTCAGAGCGAGTGGTAGCAGTAGCGGCAACGGTAGCGGTGCGCGTGCCACTTGATGCTGCTCGTTTTGCTGCGGGAAGAGGCGACTCTGCTGCTTGAACCGCTGTTGAAGAAGCAGCAGCTGTGCACGTGACGTCCGATGCCGTTCGCTTGGATGTTGAGGGAGCAGGGCTTGTAGCAACGCCGTTGCCATCGTCGTCATAATCGTCAGACCCAGGGGTACATGTACTTTCAGCTTCCAGCGGCACTCGCTTACGCCGCAGTGTACCCGAGGCTGAGCTTGCAGCCGATCGCGCCGGAGAGGAGGTTGAACCCGAGGCCGATGGTACTGGCACGCAAATGATCGAGGCCGACGGGGTTGGCGCGTGTTTCGTGGGGGTTGGCTGTGCTGCTGACTGCACGACTGGCTGTGACGTGCTCTCGCCCTCTGCCAACGTTGTTTGCACCGAGCCTCGCGCCTCTTGCTGTAAAGGCGCCTCATCATCAGCATCAGAGACCATGGGGGAAGCTGGCACCGACATGGATGCTGTATCTGCCTCATCAATGCAAGCAGCACTCGTCTGTATCCGTGGCACGGCAGCATCCGTCATTGGCCCTGCATTTGTCGCCACCACAGCCGTGTCCTGGGCACGTGGAGTACTTCTGCTCGACTGCGCCGCAACGGCAGCTGGTCCTGAAGACGCTGCCGTTTCGACGTTTGATGCTGAAGCTACATCCAAGGCGGACTCTGGCCCGATCGATTCTTCTTCCTCGAGCCGTGCTGCAGGTGGCTCAGACAACACATCTTCCTCCTCCGCCATCGCCTCGGGCTCTGCTTCCACATGCGCCACACTCAACGCTTGGGCAGCACGCTGCTGGCGCGCAGCTCTTGCTGGCTCCAGGCGCTGTGCTGTTCCTGCGCACACGTCACAAAACGGCTGGCCGGCAGCAAAGCATGTCGCGGCGCGGGGATCTAGCAACTTGCCGAGCGCCCAGCTGCGGCACGCATTGCCCTCGACAAACTTTTCCATGCCCGGTGCTGGCCCACGTCTCACTGGTAGCCACAGCTCGGCAGTTCCACCCTGTTTATCGCGACCAGCCCGACCAAATGCCTAGCCCAAGCACATGTACACCATCAGCAATGATTTTTTTTTTGTTTTCAACTCCATACAGTCACACGACTGTTTGAGCAACAACGTACCTGGGCCAGCGTATAGACGTTGTAGCCGTTGCCATACCACAGCACGTGGCGAATGGTGAGCAGATCCACGCCCGTGCTGAGACAGCTGGTGGCCACAATGACGTCGCATTCACCCCGTTGCCACTGTGCCACATGGTCCTTTTGCGCCTTCTCCTCCAGGTCGGTGTAGTAGGGCAAGGCCATGTAGCCGTATGCGTGCAGCTGGTCACACAGCAGCTTCACCTCGTTCACGGTGTCACAAAAGACCATCATGTGCACACGCTTCCCATTCGCCTGACGCATCACCCGCTGCGTGTCCACAATGGCTTGCACATGCGACAAAAAGTTTAGCTGGTTTCCGTGAAGCACACGCAGCTGCAGATCGCGACGCATCGTCTCCAGACGGTACACCTTGCCCCCGACTTGCTGACCCAGCTTTCGAAACAGATGCTCCTGGTCCCCGATGCAAAGTGTGCCCGTCAACGCCACGCGTTTGATGTTGGTCCATCCGCCAGAACCCACACTGGCTGCGACTTCGTCCATCACATCTCGGTAGCTGGCATCCGAGATGAGCGTGTGCGCCTCGTCCATCACCACGGTGCGGATGCGCTGAAAGCAGACCTTTCCGTGTAGCGATTCGGATCCCACGCGGACAAACATGTCGGTCGTGACGATGAGCACGTCCAGGCCATCTGCCACCTGTGTAGAGGGACCAAGCCATCGCTGGGCACTGTGACCTGCGCCTTGAAATCGCCGCAATAAATCGTTGGCCACGGCCACAAACGGCACAATCCACAGCACCGTACCGGCATGCGGGCGACAGCCCAGCTTGGGCAGGGTACAAAATGTTTTACCCATGCCTGTCGGTGCAACAACAATTAGCCATCCATCTTCCGGCCGGTGCTGGTCAATGGCCGCGGCCAGGTCCAACTGTTCTTGGCTGTTGAAACTGTGGCCCCACGAGATGCTTGCCTGCTTGGCCAGCTGGGTCATGTAGGGTACGTCATGCTCGGCCCTCGTGTTCATGATGATACGCCCGTTTGCCTCGGGTGAGAGGTCAGTCACCGGGTTCCAGCTGATGGGATAGCGAGCTTCCAATGCTTCTTGGTTCGCGGTCAACTCGGCTATGCTGCGCTTGTGATCTAGTCCAAACAAAGCATGCCATTTTTGCGAGGCCACTTGATGCATCAATCGCGACGACATTTTGGTTTGCACATGGTCACTCGCTGTGCGCGCATAGGCCCGCTGGGCCGTGTCCCCAGAGTGTTGAGCTTGAGTGTGGATCAGGCTGCCCAGGGCGCTGGTCGTCTCGGCCGACAGTCGGTTGTAACCAACGTCGTCATCCAGAAGGTTGCGGCGTGTCGCCACGTGGCCACCCCCAGCTTTGGCCGATGCAGGTACGTGGTCATTTGTCGACGAAATGCCGCATAGATGGTGGCTGGGCTGACCATCGCCTGCAGGGGCGCAATATTGAAGAGGAGGTGGCTGTTGTTGTAGTGGTTTCGAGCGTCCCGGACCTCGCGTCGCAATGTCATCGTCTCGTCGTGGCTCATGTGGTCTTCATCCAACTCGTCGTCGAGGAAATCTTCGTCGTCCTGCTCGGCATTGTGAATGCCGTTCTCGTCGTCGGGGGTGTCCAGCCCGCCCCGCTTTTGCAGCCAGCTGCTCAGCATGTGCTCCAGAGGCTTGCACAGCAGCAAATACATGAATATCAGCGTGCTGATTTCCTGGTCCATGTATCGAAAGGTGTGCTGTTCGTTCAGGGACAGCCAGTAGGTCTTGCTCACGCGGGTCAATATGGAGAGCTGCTTCTCGGCAAAAAAACGCAGATCGTTGCCGGCCAACGCCGTTTTTGTAGGACAGCCCTTGATACACAGAGGCTCGTGGCGGCAGACCTAGTCAAATGCAAACAGGCATGAGTGGCGCAAAAAAAAAAAAAAAAAAAGAGACGGCTTGATTCAAGGAGACGGCTTGATTCCAATCGTACCTCCGGCAATGTGCGTGTAGGTGAGTGCTAGCTCGTTGAACCTGCACACATATAGGAGCCATACCCGCACCCTGTCTTCTCGAAAGGTCAGCTCGCCACTGGACCCATGCTCAGTTCGGATAAACTCTTGCCGCAGACTCGGGGTCTGGCCAATGTGATCAAACAGCGCGTTCTCGGCTGGACTGCCATGGCCCACCCACCAGTTCTTGACCCTGTTGGTCCGATCCTCCTTCAATCGCAGCCGCTCATATTCTTTCTCGTAATCTTTCCGCAGGCGTGAGTCCAGCAAGAGTTGCTTGTCCAATATTTCCGTCATGTCTTTGCGCATCTGCTCCAATGCGGCCCCGAGCTCCTCCACATTGAGCTCAATGCCTCGATAGACAATGGTGCGCAGCGTCTCGTCCGTCACGTCGCCATCGGCTCGGATATCGACGTCGACTCCAGCCTGCCCCTCGGCCACGCTCGCTGTTCGTGCCATGCTCATGCGCTGGCTCAAGAAATGCACCAATCGCCCGGGCTGCATATACGGCCTCAACTCGTTGGCCACTAACCACGACTCATTCTTGCCACGGCGAAGCAGGAACAATTTGAAAACGTACAGCAGTCCAGCGGGCGTCGTGGTCCACTGCCTGATGTCTTGCAGGATGCCGCTTCCTTTGGACACGGCCGTGCACAATAAGAAGACGTTGACAAAGTGCACCTTGTCGTTGTCAAAGAGGCTCAGCTCCACCTCCACCAGGGCCAGCCACAGGGACGTCAGGGGCTCGACCAGCTCTTTCTTGGTCATTTCAGCGTCCAGGCCCGCCCTCAGAGCCGCGGTGGCATTGATTACCGCAGGGCCACGGCTGGCAAGCACCTGGCCCAGAAAGCTCGACGGGTCGGGGGCTGGCATGGCCTCCAGCAGCAGCAAAAATTGGACCAGGCGTGTTCCAAGACTCAGGTACCTGCTGACGGTTTGCGGCTGTACTTGCCGCATGGGGCGATGCTGATACTGCCCTTCATTGTCGTCAAACAGACGCGTCACCGCAGCGGCGGCCAGGCCCTGATCCGAGAGCTGCTCGTAGGCCGTCCAGAACAGCTCGTGCATGCCCGACTCAAGGA